ATGGTGTCCAAATGTACTTAAACAAGTACAAACTTAAACAAATTTTTCTCAATTCTCAGCCAATCATTTCTTGACAAATGGTCATTTTAACTACCATACTTGTTATAGGAATGAAAACTTAAGAACATGACTTTCAAGTAAAGAATTGGAGTGCAGTTCATATTGGGGCGTCAATCGAGCTGAACTGCTCGAGACTACCTAAACTTTGAGGAGATGCTTTCAAGCCTAGCCTTTACATCGCCGATTTGACTGTTCACATTGGCAAGAGGTAGGTAGGTTGGATGCGAATATTTGTATGCTACAGACTGTTGCTATTGAAAGGTTTTGTTAACTTGCTAAATATGTCTCAGTAATTCACAGTCCAAGCACTCGGTTCTAGCGTAGAGACAACTCCCATTCTTGCAAAGTGACTTCCCTGGTATCCAAGGCGTTGGTACTTGTGCATTAGGTTGCTCACAAACGCTAAATGCTTCAATAATGAAGTTTTTGCGTAGTTCTGAATTTCCAGGAAAAACAGTTAGATTATTAAAATAAATTATGCAATCATCCCAATAGGTTTTGATGTATCCATTAAAGGAATTTTGGGAAAGCAGTAGCAGCATTGTCTGTTCGGCATGGGAGAAAAGTTGGTTAAGTAACAAGTTTTAAGTGCCTAACTCTCAAGACTGGATTTAGAATACTGAACACTTTTAAAGGCAATTTGATGTCTCAAGTAAAAGTTCCTTGGGTATCCAACTTTATCGTCGAAACACCTCGTACCGCTTCTCGAACAATGAGCACACCAAAAAGTGCCTTCAACGCGTCTGAATGCAGTCTAAAGATTCCTGCTTTTGCATCACATCTGATAAATTCAATGTGCTTACCAGTGAATGTTGGTTGTTATTTTTTCCACTGTCAGATTTTTTTAAGCGTCTCCAGCATAGTCCACCAAATGCTAATTAAATTTAGGTTCCCGTCCTCCTGAAATTTTAGCCCTTTTTTATTTCAAAGTAGAATTTTATTTGCTAACTCTAAGTGAAGTCCTTCTACAGTCGCCAAGACCACGAAAAATACTAAAAATAATATGTCTACAAACTTATTCCCCACATTACCATCTCGCCTCTTATAATTGCTTTTCTTCACGATGAGGCCTTTTTGGCGTGAAATTAGGTGGTACTTGCCTTCCACCTTTTAATCAACTTAAATTGTCTACCAGCCTTTAGCCATCTGACGGACTGCACGAAGTAGATCGTCTCGCAGATTTTGTGTCCCTAATCCCCTAACAATCGCATTTAAGGCAGAGATTCGTAGGCTCAATTCCGCACATTCCTTGTTTCATCTGACATCCCTCTGGCTTTTTGAACGAGTATTGTAATTGCTATTCATCCACTTCGAGGTCCTCATCTATGTTTACGATTCTTTAGATAAACACTGCTTTTGTTTTCTACATTTTTATTCCATCAAAGTAATCTCTGGAGCTTTGCGTCCTGAGCCTACGTTGCTGGAGTCCTACGCCCTTGTGCTGCCAAGATTAGTATGTTACTGTGACCCTCTTGGGCCAACTCTTGTAAACTATCACGAATGGCCCTATTAGCCCTCGCATTTGCTCCACTCAGTGCTTTTCCACCTACATCTGTCCTTTCCGATTTCAGACAAAAGCTGAGTGGTTATTTTTATGACATTTAAATTCTACTAGACCTGGGTGTAACGCTGTATGAATGGCATTATCCACTCGTCCTGGATGTAAATGCTTATATTATTCATGAATGCGCATATTTGATTGGTGCGTTGACTCCCATAAGAGACTATCGTAATTAGCTTTTTAAAAGCACGCGGTTTAACCTTGCCATTTGAGGTTGTACTGTGGCTATCGCTGTATCATTTATTTCTCTAGCGTCTTTTCTCCTCTACTGCTTGATCATAAGCTTTCGGCCTCTTTTATCCTCACGGATGCATGAGAACTTGCTCTGCTTCAACTCTTGCAAATAACTTGTTTATATTAGCAAACCTAAAGCTAGCATCTAAGATTACTCTCGAATTGCCAGCATGAATGATTTCAAATACGCATATGTACGTACGACTACAAATCACTTCCTTATAAAAAACAATTTGTGGTAGGGAAGAGTCGCTTTGAATTTTCGCACTGTCCGTATTTTCTCACAGACGTTGGCATTTTACGATGCATAGCATAATTCAGAGTAGATTGGATCGTGCCTAGTGCCAACGCCACGACTTAGGTTATACCATACGCCATTCCCACGCGCATTCTAAAACGCATCTCCCCTCCCAATTTATGGCAGTACAACAAGTGCCACTGCTCCAAATATGGATTCGTCTCTCAGCGACGATTGGTCATTTGGGCGCTTTGACTCTGTTCTTGCTTTTTATTGGCCGGACCGTTTAAATAGTACTTTGAATCCGAGCACGGCCAGAAGAACTACCTTCATGTGGACGCCCCAACATGTACAGCTCAGTGGCTACTGGAAAGCACGATAGAGGTGAGGCTTCTTCATTTCTTATAGAACAGCGTTGCCTTTTTTATTGTTGATGTGGCATTGAACAGTCTCCCACTACTGATTTTTGACTTGCTTGAGGCTTCAAGAATGCAGCAACAAGGTTAACCACCGTTTTCTGACCTATCAAACTAGACTCAATAATTCTGTAAAATCATTATAAATTTCGGTCGCCTACGATAGACGATTATACAATTTGTTACATTTGGACGTCATTTTGTGTTTAATTTAAAAAGGAACTTTATTTTCTGGTTATGTGAGGACGAAGAATGCTTCGTCAGACATTTTTGCCACGCGATTTCTCTAAATGAATTCAAGTAATCGTGCAGATTCAGTGTTTTTTGGTCACAACCTTCTAAGCTGTGGGCTGCAAGATCCCTCCTCTTCCAACGTTGTGACTGGAGTTAGGGCTGATTAAAATTACACTTTAGTCGTACCCATAATTTGCTTTAAAAAATGGCTAGGCAGTTTGTCATACGCTAAGTGCAGTTCTCTTCTTTTTATTCTCCTTCATTTGTTGTTAAAGAAATGCACGCAAATGCATACATTCTTTGGGGTTTCGAAGCGCATAACATTCAACCATCATAGCAGCTTCTATAGCCCTTCAATTGCCACAGTTCAGCTGTTGGAGGAGTTGATTAAAAGAGGGTTAGGGACTTCTACTTCATAAACAGATTTGCCTTTCCTGTTGGGAAATAGGAAACATGGCGGACCGGATTTAATTCGTATCATATTCAAGGCAAGAGTATTTGTAGAGGAAGTACTCAGCAGGTTGAATCAGACTCTCTTTCGTGCTGCATCTATGAAGGTTTACCTACTTCAAATGTACCTAAATGTGCCTAGCAGCAAAGCAGAAGTTAATCCTAAATGGGAATTCGCGCCCGTCGAATTTGTCCTTTGGAAAAAAGTCAAATTCGTGAAAACCCGTTTTTCATGAAAAAGAAAAAGGCATACTTTGGAATTAGAGGTCAGAAAAGTCTCGCAAATTCTAATTTAAATGGACTTTTAGTCCTCCTTTTTCGTGAGATCTGACCGAGAATAAAAAGATGCCATGAAAAGTGGGTGAAAAGAATGAAAACCCTCTTCTCCTCGACTTAAGTTGTCTCTTTCATTCATCTTTCCGAAGATACCGTCCGCGACTCGGACAGAAGGCAAGATCCTTACATAGCTCCTCCACCACTCCACACTTTGGTGGCTCGAACAAAGTTTTCTGCAAACGAGCTGAAGCACCTTTACAAGGCCTTCAAGGACGTGCGTTTAATTCCCCGTTTTTGAGGAATTTAACGTGGTATACTTGAACTATGTCCTCATTCAGGTCATGCTTACCGCAGTTCTAACATATATCGCATTTCTAAGCGACTTAGACCAAAATATGCATTGTTGGTGGCCTAACAGTCCAGCCAGGATACGATGGTGGAGTTCTTAAGTCACCTACCACTAGGACCGAGAATTAAACCATGTCACTACTACACAGCGATTTAGACACACATTCATCAATCCAATTACCTTCCCAATTGCCAAATATCAGAGAAAACGTGAACAGGCCAACAGCATTGAAAGATATCTATCGACAAGCACTAGTTAATGTGCCGTATTGATTGCCACAACACTGATTCTTGAACCTGTGTTTACCCGGTGGGTTGTCTAAACGTCCCTAAATGATATGCATGGGCAGGTGAAGGCACACATTGCCTTTATTAATGCAAGAAAATGTATAATTAAGATTGTTTTTATGTTCTCATAAAGGTCAAGCTACTTCATTTCATCCTATTGACGCAATTTCATGCCATACTCGCCGACAGCAAACAACTACTTCCCAAAGGAGCTCAATTATTCTTGGTCTTTTCTGTAGAATGCTTCTGGCGATAAGCCATAACTTAGCCGTGCAGAAGTTGATGTTACAAGCAGTGCACAACTTCCCTGCGTATGTCCTCAGATCATCAACATTACGATAAAACCAACATAGAAACTCAGCAAATGGACTAGAAATGACATTTTGCAAATAATCTCATCAAAAACCACAGCCTCATCACCGCTCAAGAACCCCGCTTGAGTCGCCTATTAAGCGATATTTCACTCTAAAACCACTTTGCAAGAGCCGGTTTGCTTCCATCCTTTTACCATCAGATCGCAAATAATTCTAACGTAAAACTCATTATATGCACATGCCTTAAATACATGGATGTGGTTTCAAGAATTGTGCAGCTTCTCCAAAAAAGGGAAATTGGGAACTCACAAAACCATTGCTCATGAAGGTGTTGCGTATTAGACGGAAAATAGCGCAAGGCATAAACTCTACGAAAATTGAAATAACAAAATCGCACTCCCTTCAGTTCAGGCACTTGATGAGGTTTTGAAAACCACAGCTATTCAAAGTACAAAGGAAGTTTGTGCCAGTGACAAGTAGTTAATTGCCGAATTCTCTACTTTTGAAGGCCTGCCATTCCGGTGTCGCTACCAAAGAGACATTCTGTGCAGCTTTCAATTGCATCTTTCACGAGGCCGGTGAGATATTATCAGCTCTGGTTTGTCTTGCGTTCTTTTACCCTGTCAGTCGAACAATTACAATGACACCTACAAAAACAGCCGAACTAAAATACGCCTTCTAAACCACTTTTAGCGTCACATAGCTATGCTGTTCTCACATTCAACGCATTCGACAAATGCTCTCGAGGATACATAACCTTTTCGGTAAGTTTCTGCAATGTCTTTCATTCTAATGTAAAATTCGCGCACACCTCAACTTTGTGACTCAAAAGTAGCTTTAAACAACCGCGCATTTGTGATGTAAGGTAAAGCCAAGAAACTTCAACTTACCGTCGTATCCCCTCGTAAAACGAGTTAAAAAATTCGCTGACTTACAAGTCGCCCACTGACTCCATCAGCGTCCAAAATATTAGGTCAATGAGGCAATATGACCCGGACTAGGCTGACAGAAGTCGCAAATTTCCATCTCAGTAGGTACAACTAAACTCATCCACATAATTTTCGCTTCTACTCTGCAAACAGAAATGCCCACCCTCTTAACACTGTTTGAAGCCTGTAAACTCTAAACCCTCCATCTCCTCTAAAAATTGGTGGTAACTTCTCTGGCAGGATTTTATTCAAACTCTCTCCTGCCTACTGCATGGAACGCAAGAGGAAATACTGGACTGGGTGTTTGATCTCTATGACTCCAACAGAGATGGTTGTATTTCACGTCAGGAGCTAACAGTTCTCATCCGAGCCGTACACGACTTACTGGGAACGTCGCACGGCACCAGAGAACCCTTGGACATCGAGGAGAAAGTGAACTGGATGTTCAATGTGAGGCAATGTGATGCTTACAATAACTAACCCTAGCCGATGTTTGAGAAAGTAGTCATGTTTCACGAGATGTACGACAAAGGTGAACACAAGTTTTATTTTAGCTAGGACTCGTATTTCTCAAAAATCGAACTCACAAAACAAACTGACTCCTCAAAGGCCCAAGCCAAGGTGCAATTTAAATCGCCGCCAATTAGAGCTCCCTAAATTGTTGTAAATTTTTACGCTAAATTTGAAGGTACTCGTCAAAAGTTGCCGTCAGTCTTCAATAGCTGCAAGGACGTAGTTTAAAGAGAAATGAGTAAATAACAAAAGCATTCTTGTGACAACTAGAACTAAGAAGGGTTTTGTACCATTATTCGCAAAAATGGAAGCTCAGAGGACAGAATAATCCTGAGAATCAATGTCATAACGAACAAAAAGTAAGGCGTATCTAGCTAATGTGATATTATACTCCTGATAACGACGTGCATTTGCCTTCTTTAACAGAAATTCGATGTGGACCGCGATGGCAAAATAGGAAGGAGGGAATTCATCACCGTCTGCCTTGAGGTGAGCAACCATTGCCTTTGTAACCTGTTCCCATTTAGGACCAAAATATACTGGAGTCGCTTAAAGCATTTGGAAACCCTCTTTAACGTCACGCATAACACTTTACTGTAGACTTATTTCTTATCGCAATGTAAGAATCATCTTGCAATTATCAATGCAAATTTAAGTCAGATCAGGCCCTGCACACAGTGTTTTGCAAATACATAAAAGTTAAGCAAGGGCAAACTGATTAATACTGCCATCTGAGTTCGATGCTTAGCTAGCCAAAGTATCAGCAAATATTTACTGTAAATGTCAACTGATACTAACTATGCAACTAATCTGTAAAAGCGAAGTTAATGAAGTGTTCTGAAAATGGCCGAACAGGCGCTATCTCTCGCAGTTCTTCAATCGCGTGAGCAGTCTAAAAATAAGCAAAATTGGTCAGCGAAGTCTCAGCCTCACATGCGTAAAACAACTTATAGAGCGATTTCTTTACCTCTTCAAGGTAACATATTGCAACAGTTGCTTCCTGTGCACTAATCCAATGTAGGAAGCTCGACTAAAACTCAAAAAAGTGGAGTTACGGAAGTCCAGCTTGGAATGCAATTTGAAACTTCATTCCTATTTCACAAATGATGAATGTCTCGAAAACACCAACGCACCGAACCTATAACGTGCATTAGCTTACCCTATCATTTGATCGATCGACAGCTGGAACGTTCACGAGATTGCCAAGAAGGCAAAGACGACTCGAATTCTGTTATAGGACCAAACAATAAGGTTCAAACTGGGTGACGGAAACATAACATAATCGTACTATGAGCCGCTTCGAATGGTGCAAAATAAACTTCGCTTAAAAGGTAATTAATTTAACAATACTCGGTGTTCAAACCAAACACCCTTTGTTTAGGTGAAAAACCCCCTCAAGTGTTTCGACGGCATTAAGGTTATTCGACAATTGCCGCCACCAAGGTTATTGGTCATAATAATGAGCAATGGATGAGGTAAAAATTATAGCTAATATGGGATCTAGGTCGGTACTAGAATGGATGGATGGTAACAAGCTTCACTTACATTTCTAGAACCTGAAAGCTTGATTTTGGCGGTAGAAAATAATGAGTGGGGCGCAGAAATTCATGCCAACCAACCACCTGACGAAAATTGATCAAAAGAAATAATACATCAACCTAAACCTACCACATCGCGCGGATTGCCTGGATTTGAACTATTCAGAAGGGGTGGAGTGTCTCCAGAGAACAACGGAATGTCGCTGTTGGAAATTGCCTTTACAGGTGGGGTGGGAGAAATGCGCAAGAGGTAACTAAGATCCCCTTCAGCTCCCAGAGCGTCATTATTTGTTAACGTCCTGTTTCCACTGACGTCCTCTACACATATGAAGAGGGACGAACATAAAACCAGTTGTATTTAACCAAATTCGCGCATTAAAGTTTGCTCGCTGAAGGCGACACAAATGCGAACAGACATACGCATTTATCTAACCTCACTCCTACTGGGTGCATTAAGTAGCAAGAAACACGATTTCAAGGATTGTTGCACGACCATAGTGGATAAATAATTGGCAGATCTGCAGAAAACAAAAAAGGAACAAATTAGGTTTCACAAAACTACCTCGTTGTGGAGCGCCAGTCGACTGGGCGCTTGCGCCGATGAGGATCAACGCATTCTCGTGGGCACACGAAAAATCCATACATCCATGCGTTTCCACTTCCGCAAATCCAGCCAAACTTTCATCACTGGCATTTTGTGTAGGAACCCACTGATCTACTGTTTGGAAAACATCCTGCCTTCCCACGTCCGCACCATTACCGGTGTTCAATTGTTTCTCCTCCATAGCCTACTTAAGAAACAGAATTGTGGTCTAGCATGCATAAAATCGAATCATCTCTGATTGCAAAGATCGGAATGCGACTTGGTGCCGGTAGAAGGAGAAAATCTTTAACCAGAATTCTTTCGCCATACCAAGCCAAAAACAAAATTTTGTGAGTAGATCCCATCTTCCCACAATAACAGCAGTCCTACGAATTCCTGAGAACAAGCAAGAATAATGTGAAAACTCGACAGCAAAAGCGATCAAGCAAAACTTACGCATGTTACAGAAGCATTGCCACAGGAATGTGTACTACTTGGACCATTCATTTCATTATCACCTCCAGAGGAGTAATCTCGGAAATCAAGAGTGTCAGAGAGGCTGTAAACAAGGGAATAGTAAGTCACCAAATCAAAACATTCATACGAGGCGGAGGGTTGCACAAGAAGATCTTCCTTGCAGGTCATTCTAAAAAGAAAAACCCTGAATTACTAAAATGCAAACTAAAAAAATCATTTTGATGCAAAAGCAAATACAAAGAAAAAGAAGTCCAGCCAAGGAATAGTTGGCTTATTAATGCTCTCATAAAACTGTAGACCGTAAAGTGCATTTGGGTGTGCAAGTAACCACAAACCCTAATAAGCAGCTGACATAATGTCCAAAGAACATACATGCATGGGATTGAACCGAAGGCTTCTGCAAGGCAATGCGTTTCCTTAACAAACTTTACTTCATTTGCATGAGCAACGAAACAATCCTAGAGAATAAAGGGTTGCAAGAAAATCCGTACCGCAGCAAAGTCATAACAAATTGAGTAATTGGTAAGAAAAACAACGAAAAAACAGGTGGTAGAGCTTCGGAATTTATTTCTAGGACCTAAATTTACCAAAAAATACCCACCCACAAACCAATCGTTCCTTAATACTTCCATCTAACAAAAGTTCAATCCAAAATTGGCCATCACATAATCTCAGGAACTAAAAAATGCGTAAGAATGAACGGACCCACATCACTAGTCTTCACTACCACTGCCTTTGGATTTTCAGGCTGAGCTGCCCAAGACTGTTCACAAACAGATAGCTTGCAGCATAAATAAATGAAGGGTATGACATCAACCAATTCTCTAACCAGTTCAGGATTTCGAAGCCCAATAAGCCAGGGCGTGAGAGACTTTTTGCGCTCACGCCAATGCCTAAAACCCGCACCACAACTACGCGACATAGCCCAAAGTAGGTTTAAAAGGAGCGGAAAGTGCACCACCATGTGCCCCAAATACGCTAAAATATTGCGACACAGAAACAATACATTGACTAGGATTTTAAACAACAGAAAGAGCTACCACAAAATACAAAAAGCATTAACACAGCCAACTTTCGATGAATGGACAAGAAATGCGAAGTCTCTAACGCTACTTAACTAAATATTTAGATTTAGAAAATTTAGAGCCCACAACTTTGTCTCATTCATCGCCTTCTAAGAGCATAGTTAGGTTAATTAT